ACCCGTGGGGCCGTGCCCCCAGCTTTTGTCCTTAAAAAGCCACGACCAAAAGTTTGACAATCCCTCAGATAAAGACCCTCTTCAATTTAAGTTTTTCTTCACTGAAGAATGCGGAAACCTCTAAAAGACATACCACACCAGTGATTCCAGTAAGCTGTGCTAAGGAGACATTTGAATGCCATCCAGCTGATTATCAGAATGCCTAGAGCCAGGTTTGTTTTTCTTGGTGGTGCATACTCACACGACCAAAAGTTTGACAATCCCTCAGATAAAGACCCTCTTCAATTTAAGTTTTTCTTCACTGAAGAATGCGGAAACCTCTAAAAGACATACCACACCAGTGATTCCAGTAAGCTGTGCTAAGGAGACATTTGAATGCCATCCAGCTGATTATCAGAATGCCTAGAGCCAGGTTTGTTTTTCTTGGTGGTGCATACTCACACATGCCTTGGTGCATATAAAAACGTATTCTACTCAAGGATGGAAAAAATCTGCACATGGATGAAAAAGATGAGGAAGAAGGAACATTGTACCACACTCTGCATAAAAGCCAAATACATAAACTCAAAAGTTAATATCAATACTGTAAAGCTTGTAGAAATACTGAATTATAATGATTAAGTTTCAAATTAAATTACAAAAATAGCATCTGACAAGGAAATTCAACATCTTGGCAACAACAGCTATTTTGATGGCAAATAATGCCCCTAGAGTTAGCCATTTTATTGCAATGCTTAATCAAATGCAATTAAACCAAACTACATTAATTCAAGAGTTAGCTTTATCCTGGCTACAGGCAGTCCCTGGGTTACGTACAAGATAGGGACTATAGGTTTGTTCTTAAGTTGAATCTGTATGTAAGTCGGAACTGGCGTCCAGATTCAGCCGCTGCTGAAACTGATCAGTTTCAACAGTGGCCATTTTATTGCAATGCTTAATCAAATGCAATTAAACCAAACTACATTAATTCAAGAGTTAGCTTTATCCTGGCTACAGGCAGTCCCTGGGTTACGTACAAGATAGGGACTATAGGTTTGTTCTTAAGTTGAATCTGTATGTAAGTCGGAACTGGCGTCCAGATTCAGCCGCTGCTGAAACTGATCAGTTTCAACAGTGGCTGAATC